AGTCACGTGTGGAGCGTTTCAGTCACGTGTGGAGCGTTTCAGTCACGCGTGGAGCGTTTCAGTCACACGTGGAGTGTTTCAGTCTGTGAATACACCTGGAGAGAAGAGCCAAGGCTCCATTTTGGATGATGGGCAGCTGAAACCTTTGAGACCACTTCCTTTATTAAATGTTGTTTTCCCTGTTTAACGCAGATTATTTATTTTATCATAAATCCACGACTGGGCAGCACAGTGGCGCAACTGGTAGAGCTGCTGCCTCTCAGCGAGCAGGTCCCTGGTTCAAACCCCGGTCCAGGGGCCCTCTGGGTGGAGTTTGCATGTTCTCTCCGTGCATGCGTGGGTTTTCTCCGGGTACTCCGGTTTCCTCCCACAGACCAAAAACATGCATGTTAGGCTGATTGGTAACTCTAAATTGTCCCTAGGTGTGAGTGGGAGAGTGAATGGTTGTTTGTCTCGTTTGTCTCTATGTGTCCCTGTGATGGACTTGCGACCCGTCCAGGGTGTACCCCGCCCCTCGCACAGTGATTGCTGGACATGGGCACCAGCAACCCCTGTGACCCAAAAATGGAATAAACAGGTAAAGATAATGGATGGATGGATGGATGGATGGATGGATGGAAATCCATGACTGATCAAATAATGCACTTTGCTTGTTCTTGTTGATTTGTCTGATTATTGTACATAGACACCCTGTCCTTATACTTCCTCTTAATTTAATGTTGTATCACAGGTTTAGTTATATCATCATTTACTCCAGTGTTAATTAATATTTTTGCCTATAACTATTCAGTTTCTGTATCTGCAAAATAAAATTAGAAAACTAACAAAGTCACACATTACCTGCAGCTCTGTGATCATTTCTTTACAGTTGCACCTTCACATACATTTGCCACATTATGTTGCCATTGTTGCATAATTTATTACACTTTTCCACACCGCCATCCAGACAAACTATAGATGGCTTCTTCAAAATAAAGTTGTTTTTTTTTTTTTTACTTTTAAATAAACCATTCCTGGAAACTGGACTTCTAATGTTTCACTTCTGCAGGAGCAGAACTTCAGATGATCTCACCTCTAAGTCATGGTCACGTGAGCACTGTTTAATGTAAAGTCAGCAGTTTATTCTCCTGAAACTGAACTGTCAACACAGCTGTGCACCCACCGTGTGCAGCCCAATAAAAACAAGACCTTCATAAAGGTTTCAGAAGCACGTTACTGGTATTTCCATAACCCAAACTTATAATCCTGCTGAATATTTTGGAAAACAGACATTAAGCTTTCCTAGAAATGTATTCTGTAGCCATGAACACAATTTACCGTTTCAATAAATGATTTACATTAAAACCTTCAGTGTGTGATTATCACATGCAGAACTCCCTTAAACTTATTATCCATACTGTCTTCTTTGTTGCCAACTTTACAGACATCATCGTGCTGTTAGCTCCCTGAGACGTTTCTTTCGAGGGATTACATTGGCCTCCACCAGACGGTGTCACAATGCAGCGCTCTGGAGCCTGATGCTCTAAATCCTAAAGTCATTGCATCATTTCCCATGAGCCTCTCTGCTCACACTTCACTGCCGACAGCTGCTTTATTTTCTCAACATTTTCTGATGCAGTATAGAACCGAACCAAATTGGGCTGTTGAGTTGATGCTCGTTCCGTTCTGGTGCTCTTACCTTGTCACCAGGATGAGGTCTCATGACAGACACCCTGCCGTAGCCTTTTTTCAGAAGCACCCACAGAGCATCCAGTTTGCTCTGTAGAAAATGGGAAAACAAAATGTAACTTTAACAGAGATGTCAACTGAAAATTAAAATAAAAACCATCATCCGTTTCTGCTTTGTTTTTATTTGTTTTTCTCCCCGCTCCCTTGGGCTCTCTATAATAAAACACACCAAGCTCCAGCTTCAATGAAATGGCCAGTTTTCTCTCCTTCCTCGAGCCATTTCAAAGTGGCAAACAGAAAGAGTTCCAGTTTGTTGTTAAGTGACTCTTCGAAGTTTAGAAAAAGCGCTAAATAGTGAGAGGATAAACGCAGAAAACACAGCTGCTTTTCCTCACAAACTGCTGGCTGTGCAGTTCTTCTCCCAGGAGGTCAGTCCAGCAGGAGTCTGGTTTCTGTTAGCGTTCCCCCGCTGACTGGAAAGCCTTACTGCTTTAACCCCATCCTGGCTCTCGATGAAGGGCCGGGTGCCAGCATCCTAAACCTCATTGCCTTAACGCTAGTTGGTTCACTTCAACATATTAAGAATACAACATACCCTTGGCCTGATTAGCGTGTAATAATTAGCAGCAGATGTTAAACATTAAGCTTCACACATGTTCACAAATGAAAAGAAAAGAAGCTTTTATCCCTGCAGAGCTGTGGAGCAGCCATGATGCTTTTCTGTTATTCACACACCACAGCATCTCTCATGTTTAGGTTCAGGGAAAAACTCATAACTCTTATTCGTTGTTTTAAGTTGTCAACAAATCATGTGTGAATCAGTCACTCCCCCCATGGTTTCCACCTGTCTGCTCGCTCTGATACCTTGATGGGTGAGTACCACATGCGTGGCTCTGGAGGTTTGTGCATGCCGTTGTTGAGAACCCGAGTGGGAGGCAGTTCATAGTCCTGCTCAGGCATCTTCACTTTAGCGTTTTTGGCTTTCTCCAGCTTTGCTCCTTCTTCAGTCGAGCCTTTTTCCCCCCAGCGGACCTGAAAACAAAGTGTAATCAGTGGTTTGTTCGGGCTGCCCCTCATTATCTTAATTTCCCATCACCAATGTGTTAAAGAGAAGTATTATTAGTAATCAGCATCTTACCTGCAGCAAAAATTGCTCAAAAGTTTATCAGTTTGGATTATCAGGAAGCAGTTGTGAGCTGATATCTTGAGTGAGGTCAAGACCAAATCCTGCCACATTAAATCTACTCAAGTTTCTTACATGTTTTAGCATTTTGAGCCAACACGACATTTTAACTCTTTACATCACTGTCACTTTTGCGTTATTGGGTTATTTACATAAAAGTCCAAAGTTATTGATACCAAAAACGTTGACTGCAGTTTGTTACCAGCAATCGCCCACGTGAAACTCCTGTTGCAAAAGAAAAAGTATCTGATGAAAAAGTAAAACCCAAAGGTTTTAAAGTGGTGGGAATAAACACTTCTTTAATGGTGTTTCCACTTTTTCCGCCTGGTTCTGCATCACTGAGATGAGAAACTAGCAGTGTTGTTAACGATTCTAAAACTTCCATCCTTCGTATAAATAACCATCAGTTTCAATGTAGGTTACATTAACCTGCCACCTTGCATCCTAAACTTTAATAACAAAAATCTGAGCATCTGTTAGTACAATGAGTACCGTATTTTTCGCTGTATAAGTCACACCTTTTTGCATAAATTAGCATGCCCTGCGACTTATACAGCAAAGTGACTTGTTTATGGTTTTTTACCCTTATTTATAACCCAATTTTTGGCTGAGATATGACAATTTCATTCATGGTGTAGAGGCAGGGCAGCCGGCTTGGGACCCGAAAGTCCCAGGTTCGATCCCCAGTCACTGCACATCACGTGGCGTCTCTGGGCAGCATGCCTCACCCCCAAAATGTCCCCCGGGCGCTTTCAATAGCTGCCCACTGCACCACCTGGTGGTGGATGGGTTAAATGCAGAGACTAATTTCGCCATTGTATGGAAACATACAGTGCTGACATTGTGATGACATTATTATTATTATTATTATTCTGAAATGGAAAATATTGAACATTAACATTTTCAGCCACTAGAGGGCCCTTGAGCAAGCCAAGTATCTTATTAATTGGTAAAAGTGGCTATTAATGAGATACTTGGCTTTCCATACTGGCCACTTTCGTTTTGCTCCGAAACTCCTGGAGCAAACGTCAAATCAGTTGTATTTTGCCGTGCCACCCAGGAGAAATGCAGCTGATTTGACTATTAAAGTGCATTTATTAAGGAAAAGTAAAACTGAGACACACCTTTGCTATAATTTCGAGCAAACAAATCATTGTTTTTAATTTTGTTAAATTATTGTTAAAGTCCTCCCATGCATGCTCCCGCGGCCGCCATTTGGCAGCCATTTGATTTTTGGCACAGCACCGGCCCACGTTTCCGGGTGATCAGCGGTGATGCATAAAAAACGTGATGCGTCAGTGGTGATGCATAATGGATGCGACTTACATGGTGAAGCGACATTTTATTTTATTTTTTTTCACTTTATTAGACAAATTTGAACTGATGTGACTTATACAGCAGTGCGACGTGTATGGCGGCAAGTACGGTATGTTGGGGATGACACTTGGTTCTCTTACCACACCAGAATGTGCTCAGTATCTCTCAAAACTGACCTAAAGTCAGTTAGTGGTGGTGGCCATTTTAAACTGGGTTAACTCCAACAATGAGTAGATTGAAATCCTGTAATTACTTTCTGAGAGTTTTATTAAATTTGTTTGGGGAATCATGTGATATTTTGCTAACAGACAGGAAAAACAAATGCAGGTAATTGCATAACCATTTTTTACAGCAGCAGGCAACAACAGCCACCTTTTTCTGCAAAGGTTATGGCGGTATAAATGTTTATAAAATAAAATTAGCATGAATCATTTAGATGGAAGTTGTTTTAGAATGGCAGCAAATAGCTTTAGAACTGGTTCCTGCTCAAACTAGCTCTCATTGTGCATCTTCTGAGACAATTTTTTTCTAATGTTTCAATCTCATAATGCTCTGAGCAACATCTGCTGCAGGTAAGATACTGATTACCAATGGAAAAAAGTCAGCAGAGCGCCACTTCAAGTAAAAAGCTAAACAGAAGTGTGGCAATTCTGAAACCTTCTGGAGGTCTGGAGGTTCTCAGCCTTGCAGTGGTGACGTGTTAGCATGGTCTCACCTCCATCCTTTTGATGCCCCCCACTCCTCTCCCTCCATAGTAGGAGGCATCTACAGTCGGCCATTTCTTCTTAGGACCCTCGAAGTCTTCTTCATCCTGAAGGAGAGCAACAAGAAGCACGTTTTATACTTTTATTAATTAACCATTTACAACTCATATATAAAACTTATTAGAAACTTGACAATTCCTTTAAAATAACTGTTTCTCTGTTAGTTCTGCTCTATCCCTCCCCTGGGATGTGCTTTTAGAGGAAATAACAAACCTCTGGACGCCGGACCACAGGATTTTTCAGTTCTTTAACTCAGTCTGGCTTATAATCCACCTTTATGTCATTTGGCTCAAAGGCAGAGTTAGAAATTTGTCATTAAAGTCCTGCTTAACCTCATTTTCTGTTACCTTATAAAAAAAAATAAATGTAGCATGACACACTCCACACCCTGAATAAATTTGATCCTGATGTGCGTTTGCTCATCAGATGTGATCAGTCTGTTTGAATGCATGGCAAACTATGTAAATATGTCCAATTTTTACATTACTCAAGGTCCAAGGAGGTGCCGTTTCAAACAATAAATCAAAATCTGGACTACAAAAACTGAAAGCGTTGTGATTTCATTATTACTCTATAAGGGGGGGCGTTAACTTCACGGCGTTTGATGAATTCCCAAACGAGTAAAAGGAGTTTAGAGCCGAGCTGAGGGTGACTGACGCAGCGTGGTCGTTGAGGTTTAAACTGTCAAAGCGAGCAGTTTCACAGCAATTACACAACTTAAACACCAGCAGCTGCTGACGTTCTAAATCACAAGCGCTCGTTCACTTCTCAAAGACAGCAGAGAGGAGGAGGAGGAGGAGAGGGCGAGGCTCATACCGAACTTTCCTCCACAGGTGGGGGTGGGGGTTCATGGATGATCTGCAGGAGTCAAGACAAAAAAAAAGGAGGAAATTAGGAGATGACATGAGACAACAAATATTAAATAGTGTGCATGTCAAAACAATATGTCTTCGATTTGGTTACACAACAATACAGACGGAGGGCTTGTTTTTCTTTTACTCACTACTTCTTACATGAGCAGCGTGCTGACCTAAAAACCTGCGGGCCAGATTTGTTTTGGGCCTCATGGTGCTGATCAAGGAAAAGAAGAGTTTAAAAAAAACAGCATCTTATTCTCTTCTTCGTGGATGAATGTAAATATCTCTTTAGGCTAGTTTTATTTAATTAACTGATGCAGCATTTTGTTTTGCTTTCAATGCACGACACTAGAAGAATGCTTTAGCGAGAGCCAGTGCTTTTCTTTGTTTTACGCAAATGCATTTAAATCAATCCGACTCTTCTTTGTGACTTTTGTCGTGCCTGCCTCTCCCAGTCTTGGATCACGATCGAGGCAGCTCTCCATGGTAACCCTTCATCGTTTTTCCAAACAGACTCGTGCTGAGCAGAGTTCGATAAACGAACGAGGACATGCGAAGTGAAAGTGGAGAGAAAGCTGTGTTGTAAAAGTTGACGTCTTCTACTGGCTAATCCTCACTTTGCTGTTGCCAACACTGGAAACATTGGAGTGGATTTTCAAGAAGACTTTGACTGTGGGCTCCAAATAAAAAGCATTTTAACTCTTGTATTTTTCTTTAAATAATTGTAATACTAGTTTGAATGAAGTTTGAAAAAATGGCCACATTTCTCCAAAAAGCATTCTTTTTTATTTATTTTAATTGTGATTCAATTCAGAGCATTTGGCATTCATATAAACACAAGCTTTCAAACTTCTGGTGAGTAATCGTTCGTCTAGAAATCTTGCAAGAAAGAGATGAACCCAAAATGTTTCCAGTGTGTTTCCAGCTGGAAAGTTAGATTATTCTGAGATGTGACTGAAAAAAGAAAATTAAAAAACATCCCAGCTGTTCCATTGAGGACTGAAAAAGCAGGAAAACTTAAAGGTCACCCTCTCATGACCTTTAGAAACCCAGATGATTTTAACAGCTGCATAATAACCTAAACAGCTGTTCAGATGTTGACCTTTCTGACATCGTCTGGAGGAGGACTAACTTCAGTCTCAAGGATCTTTATAGAGTCACTGACCCTGACCTTTGCCTGTTTCAGCTCATTAGCTAAAAAAAGGCTGATTGTATAGTTTGTAAGGAGCATTTGTATCCTAAAAGTTGTATGTAGGTATACACTGTATGTAGCTTGCTGTTGTAGTGTTCGTTTTAGGAAGAGCAGTGTGGGAAAATAAAATGTCAATGTTGACACTTTTTGTAATTTTCCATTCATAATTCTGACGTGCCTTGTACAAAGATATATGTCAAATACATGTTTAATATTCAAGTGTTTGTTTTACTGCAGTTTTTATAAGATATTTCTGGAAACCAGCACATATTTAATGTGAAATGTTCCCATTCAATTGTTAAGACTAAAATTTTGTTCTAAATCAGGGCTATTCAACTGGCGGCCCGTGGGCCAGTTCCGGCCCGCCGGGGACTTCAATCTGGCCCACTTCATTAAAAAAATAAAATAAAAAAATATGTTTTTTTTTTGTTTTGTTTTTTTTGGGGGGGGGGGGTGTATGGGTTTGGATTTTGAATTCTGTTTATTACATTTATGATTCAATGCAACAAAATAAACCAATTTAAAAGGTAACAGATTGTTGTAAAACTTGGTTTATTTACATAATGACATTAATTGCGGCCCCCGAGCTGTTGGCTTTCAGAAACTGTGCCCCCCTGAGCAGTTTAGTTGAATAGCCCTGTTCTAAACTGTACAAACAACTAACATACATTGGATAAATGTTGTTTAATTGTTTATTTTTCTAACTCTTTCCTGAAAAATACCATACCAATGTGCAACGGGGATGCCTAAATGACATTTACTAATGGGTTCGTTCTTTTATAGCCCAGGGAAGAAAAAGGAAAAGGGGGGGAGGGAGTGCAGAAAACGAGTTCCTCACCACGGTGCAGCAGAGAGGCCAGAACCACCAGAGGAGAGCCAGACCCAGGAGCAGCATGAGGATGAGGAGAGCTATGACCAGGATGGTCCCATCAGACTGTAACACAGACACATTCATCATCCCCAGACATTCTGCAGAGAGAGCTCAACAGGAGCCAAGTCTGTCAGCTTAAAGCTTTGAACTGACAAAGCTCTTTCAGCTTCTTCCTGGGACACGCACTGTTACACTGTAATGCTGCACAAACGTCTGAGTTCATTTGCAGCTTTTATTAAAACGCCTGACATATGAATTGTGCTGTTCAGACTGCTGTTTTGAAACCAGCTGATCATATATGTTGGAAAAACACTTGAGGGAGCATCGCTCGCTGTTTCGCTTGAACTCACGCAGCTCATAGTTGTAATGGTGACTGAACTGGAGATGAAACTGAGGCCCTCGTTCATGCTGACGTATAGATTTGCAGCCCTGGAGGTGAAAAGGGGGAAAAAATATATATCTCAGCTGTTGTTTATAGTAAGTAGGTTTTTTTTGTGTGTGTGTTTTTTTATCAAAAGGGTGTCCAAGAAAACTAGGCTTTAATTTGCAGCTTTTGAAGAACTTACATCCCCTCATCCTGAAGCACCGGTGCAGGGCAGAGAAGATACGTGTCTTCAACAATCAAGGGCTTCATCACTGGAGAAGAAGATGGAAACAAATTACGAGAAAGGCTAAAACACTGCCGTCAACAGCACCTATAGCTCCTAAATCAGGAGGTCCTACCCAGTATAACTCCTTAGATGAGGATGTTTATTATGATTACACTACCATTCAACCACTGAATCTGGTGTGTTGGAGCAGGGAAACAAGTAAAACCTGCAGAACAGTGGTCCTCAAGGACCAGGATTAGAAACCCCTGACATGGAGGAACTGCTGCAGGTTCTGGGGGGCTGTCAGATCATCTGTATAAATAAAGAGATTATTTGGTGTGTAGTGGATCTTTTTAACTAATTACATGGTTTCTGGTAGTAATGGTTGGGTCTTCAAAGCAAAGGGGGTAAATACATATGAACACACCACTTGTTTAGAATTACTTACCACAAGTTCTCCCACCTTTTAATTTTATTATTCTGAAGTATTTCTGTAGCATTATTACCATCCATCCATCCATCCATCATCCATCCATCCATCCATCCATTATCTTTACTCGCTTCTTCCTTTTTGGGTCACAGAGATCAGCTGGTGTCCATATCCAGCAGTCACTGTGTGAGAGTTGGGGTACACCCTGGTCTCCAGTCCATCACAGGGACACAGAGACAAACGAGACAAACAACCATTCACTCTCTCACTCACACCTAGGGACAATTTAGCTACCAATCAGCCTAACATGCTGTTAGGGAATTGTTGGTCAACATTTATGGATGTTTTAACTACTATGGATGAGAATGTTAACTCTGCCCATGATCCATATGTTTGGGTTAGCAGAGAGCTGGATGAGGAGCTGAGTGAGGCTACAGCGTGTAGCTTGTTGCTCCAAGGATGCCTCTGAGTCTGTGAGTTGGTTGAACTGATGAGTACAAAAACAAGCTTCACACAGTACTCATGGCAGATTCTTGTGACTGGGCTTCTTGCGTGTACTTCCTGTATATCTGTGTAACCTGTCCAGAAAATCTGTCCTTGCAAGTAAAAAAACTGTTAAAAATCTTCTCCTGTCATCGTGCGGCTCCAGCAAGTGAGATAATGCGAGAATATTTTTATACAAAATTTTGGTCCTTCGAGCCGGAGTCGAACCAGCAACCTAAGGATTCCCTAACACATGCATGTTTTTGGTCTGTGGGAGGAAACCGGAGTACCCGGAGAAAACCCACGCATGCACCAAGAGAACATGCAAACTCCACCCAGAAAGGCCCCCAACCGGGATTTGATCTGGCGACCTTCTCACTGAGCATCAAAAGCTGTACGAACTGAACCACTGTACTTTTAATCAAAATCAAAAGCCAATGAAAACCACATTGCAAGGCAACTATATCTAAAGGTAGTTAATACTTTTTCAACCCACTGTTCTTTCATTAACAACCAATTTGAGAGAAGACAACAGGAAGTTGGAAGTTTGGAAGACAACAAAAGAAAACATTTCTTCACTGTTTTTTGTTTTCAAGGCAAAATCTCCATCTTTTGGTCTAACTAGTTCTTGTAAATTGACTCCAAGAGGCATCGCCATGCTTGTTCTGGCAGAGCGACAGCATACCTCAGAAATGAGGAGATCAACTCAAGCAGCTGATATGACTGGAGACAATAAAAGAACGATGGAAAAGGAGGGGTGGTGGAGGTGGTAAGTGCTGCCAACCACACAGCTGCAGGCCAGAACGAGGCCTGAGCATCAGCATCTCTGCAGCATCCAACACAAGCTACCCATTTAAGGCAAAGGATGAACGAGAAAACATGCAAGAAACCAAGTTAAGCTGATGAGAATTGATTTTGTATCTTCAGCACATTTCATGAAGATCTACTGGGGTACAAATTTTGGTAACCATCCAGTTCAGGATGTTTTACTGGACAGTTTATTCCCTGCCCAACCAGAAAGGCTGTTTTACGTCAAGCTACAGAGTTAAGCTTGGACCTGTACATTACGTAGAGTTATGGGATTATTGTGGATGTCAGAAGAAGACAAATCAGTGGTGCATTCTGTCACCAAGGTACTGTATATTTACAGAAGACTGAAAAATCTGTTTGACTTAATACTTATCTGATTTTATTGGGACAGTTGTTTAGAACAATCCCTGTTGGGTTAACATTTCAGATCAATTTGATGACAGATTTAACGTGTCGTTGGCAGAAAAATGAGCTACAACCAGAAGGCAGTTGGATGCAAATGATCCCAATCGTGTTATATATTTGTTAATTACATGTTTTCCATGTTAAACATTGATTATATGAGTTACAGGAGACAAACCTCAATAATCAGGTAGATTTTGATTGAACCAGTGGGGCTGAATTTTCATTTCAAAAGAGAAGTTGCTCAGACCATCTCACTTTCCACTTGACAAGAAGAAATAAAGGAAGTGTTTGTTTGTGTCTTGGCGTGCAGTGATCACACAGCCATCCACTGAAACATCTGTCATCAAACAACAGACAGCGTATGACAACATCTGCCAATTCTCTGCAAGTCCGACTGCCTTTGCTGCTACTTTTTCGTGGAGACACAAACTCAAACATTGATTCATCTGTTGAACACATGTAGTTGCACTGTGCTGCCTTGCTTTTTACCATTTGACAGGATTTATGAAGCACGCAGAGGGCAAGTGAGGCTGTCAAATGAGAGGAATGGTTTTAATGTCATATCATCAAACTCTGGCAGACTCAAAGTTCAGGTTTTATCTGCTGCTGCAGTGAAAGGTGGACGATCGTGTCATAGCCTGTGCTTGTTTGTGTGTTTGTTAGCAAAATATCTTGTGATATTTCATTGTAGCTCAAAGTAATCTTTGGATGTACCTCAACATGTCTTTTATCCCCCACATTAAAAACATTATTAGAATCGCTTTCTTCCAACTGCGTAATATCACTCAAATTAGAAACATCTAAAAATGATGCAGAAAAACTGGTTCATGCATTTGTCACGTCTAGACTGGATTATTGTAATGGTTTGTTATCTGGGTGTCCAAATACTTCTTTTAAACATCTTCAGTTGATCCAAAATGCTGCTGCCAGAGTCTTAACTGGAGTTAGTAGGAGAGATCATATATCTCCAGTTTTAGCTTCTCTCCATTGGCTCCCTGTCAAATCCAGAATTGAATTCAAAATCTTACTTCTAACCTACAAAGCTCTCAACAACCTAGCTCCATCTTATATTACAGATATTGTTCCATATTTTCCTAACAGGGCACTTTGCTCTCAGACCGCAGGTTTACTTGTGGTTCCTAGAGTTTGCAAAAGCAGAATAGGAGGAAGATCTTTCAGTTTTCAGGCTCCTCTCTTGTGGAAACAACTTCTAGTTTTTGCCTGTAAGGTTGACACATTGTCCAGTTTTAAGACTGGGATTAAGACTTTCCTTTTTGATAAATCCTATAGTTAGGGTTGG